TCCTAAAGCAGATATGGCACTATAGTGGTAAGATAAGTCTCAAATGCGTGCCCATGTGTTTCCTGTAATGTTATCATGGTCGTCATCTTCTGTATTTAAATTTTACTGAAAGGTATTTACTACAGATGGTCTATCAACAATTTTGCTGACTGATGGTTCATACCAATTTTGCTCATTAAAAAAACCAAACAAACAAAAAAAAAAACACCACCCAACCACACCAAAAACCCAAAGCACTATTATCGGTGACAATAGAATCAGAAAAAATTAAAATATTACCAGCAGCAGTTATCAGTACAGAACAATCAAATAATCATAATTTAGTTTGTAATTTGTTCTAACATCACCATCCCGTGGTATATTTGCGTGAGAAACTACTGGGAACACTTACTTAATATGTGGAGTTACTATATTTCTGAGTTATTTCAGATATAACTTCTATAGTATATAAGCACTGAGCCTGTACCAAAAAACCTCACTGAATCCAATAAATTAATCTTGATTGATTTCAAGATATTTGTTAGCTTGTCCCTGTAGCTAGCTACTTAAAACAATTATTACAATTACGGTTACCAAATAATTATACAGTACGAAACTCAGATTTAAAGTCCAAAGAAAATGGTGTTAGTTGCTGCATAATCCTGAAGACACCGAAGCATCTCTAAATTTTGGCTTCAGCCTCTGGTGCATTATATTAGACCTTAAGAGGTTGTACCTGTAAACAATAATTTTCTCTAAAAGTAAAACCAAAATGTAGAAATCCAACATGTGTGGCAATACTGACAAATGAAAATAGAAACTAATATAGAAAAGATTATAAAATATTATAAATATGGACAGTTAATGTGCAGTACTTGCAAATTGCTATCCAAATGTCTCGTTACATCCATTTCTATGACCTACTACTGCAGCATGACAAAAAAATGACTTAATCTCATGGGTTATTTTATTCTACAGTATTTATTTGTGTACTGCATGTGGAATGAGGTTATTTAGAAACAGTAGTTAGTTTTGGCACGTAAAATACTCAAGCAAATAAAGATTCCTGGAATTAGAAAGAAAGCTTCCAGTAAAACAAAGGTTGAACTCTCAAAAGTTCAAATGAAACCTAAACTAAACATTACTAATCTTCAGAGATTACATGTTACTATCTTTAACTTTTGATTTTCAAGTGCAGTGGTAGTAGAGTGTTTAAAATCACAGTTCTGTTTCCACTAAGTTTATAATAATTTTTTTCATGCTACTTTTGCTTTAGCAGACACATGGTGTGGGTTTCTGTAGGTTTTTAAAATAATATCACATCTTTTCTCCATTAAACCAATTTTGTTTTTTTTATAACTGGTGACTTAGATCAACTACGAAAAGATAGCCTTACTGAATTTACAGGGAACCTAAAATTGATGTAGAAGGTGCTGACTTGAGACCAATGTTTTAAATAGGCATTTTCTGTGTTTTTATTATTACAGTGGTTTATTTTCTCTAAAAGAACAAGTTGGTGTGAGCATTGTTTTTACTGAACATTCCTTTTGTGCTTGAAATCATTATGTTTTTCCAGGGAAGACAAAATAAATTATTATTTCAGCATGGGATGAAAGAGGAGCAGGAAGCAATCAAGAGCAAGGAGAAAAATACCACCACAAAATACTGACAGCCAAAAGATGAAGTCTGAGTTACTGCATAGTTCATTATGTCAGGAAATAGGAGAAAGCAGACAAGAACATGTGCTGTCTGTATTGGTACATACAGTATTTATGCATCTTTTAAAAATAATGCTTAACAATTTACAAGAAAAAAGAAATTTATACTACTCTTCATATGAAGAATTAGGCTATATTAAAAAATGTCAGTAAGTTGTGGGAATGAGTAACTAATCCATATGGACTTAGCTACATGGACAACAAAAACCTCTGCTGTGCACTCTCTATGCAGTGTAAATCAGGTAGCCCAAATAGAAGCATGCTGAAGATGCTGAGTAGCATTTCTTTAGAGGCACTCGTGTTGAGATTAAAGTATAATATTCTTGGTGAAGGAGTAAAAGAGGTAATATTTCATTTGATAATTTGGACTTCCATAAAGTTGTCTCTGAAAATCAGGTTTTTCTGCAGTTTTGTGATCTCTGGCTGTAGTAAAACAAAAAGCAAAGCAGCAAAATGACCAGTAAAATTAAGATTAGGTAACCTTATTTTGGATTTATCATTCGTTTCTTTTCAGAATTAGAGCTTTAGGTACAATTTGGTAGAACTGCAAAGGAGGTGCAAGTAATTTTGAGGAAAGAAATGAATTTGTTCAACAAGTTGTTAGAAGAGCTAAATTTCTACTTCAGAAATAGCTCCCATGTCTTACTGATTTTAATATTGTTAACCGAATGTGAGAAGCTCTGGTTCATGCCCACTGAGTTCAACAGGAAATGGCTTGAATCCACAAGCCATCTTGGGTCAGGCACAAAATTATTTTGATGGCTTCAAAGAATAGAAATATATAGGACTATAAGGGAGCACAGTCGATAAAATGAAATTTTGATCTTGCTACATTCAGTAGGAATTTTATTGTTCACTTAAAAAAGACTGAAATGGTTCACAATATATTAACTTAGTTAAGCTACAGTATGATTGGGCAGGCTGGCTGTGGAAAGCTCAGAAATAATAATAGTAAAGGAAATATCTCTTTCATCAGAGACTTGAGTTTTCCTACCAGGAAACTTAATTTTTTTTTTTTTTTGAGGTTTTACAAAAATAACATAAAATGAGGAAACAATTCTTATTCCTTGAAAAAGTAAAACCATGAGGGTACCAAATTATTTTTACATTTGAATCTATCTGGTCAGATACGAAGGGTGAAATTGACACTTTTGCATACACAAACACCACCAAGCAATTTCACAGACATCAGCATCAGAAAAAATACATTTCTGTTAATGACAGTATCATGCCTTACACCTCAATGCAAAGTCATCTGCAGACATTTAGCACACATGGAAGCTTAGTGTAATAGTGCTGTTATGTTGGAGCCATGTCACCGGCTCAGTGTAATCGCTGCTTTCCTGGCCCTTAATTCCTCAAGTCAAGGCTATGTGTTTTAGAGATGTACCCACAAAGGACAACTTAAGAGAAAAAATGCACCAAGGTTATCAGGAATAATAACAATGAAGAACTAAAAATTCATCACCGTTATATTTTTAAAATTATATATAACTTATATGAATAAAGATATTAAAATAGCTTATTTTTTCCCTACTTGGATGCCTCTGCCATATACACCTTTATTTCATATTAACACTGGAGAAGGATTTAGCTGAAAAACTTACTTGTCTGAGACCAAAAGAAAGCTTCATAATTCCTCACAGTCCTTCTGTTAATATTTTCAAAGATAAAAAATATAATTAACCTTTTTGTCAAAAAAGAAAAAATCAGAAACACAGTGAAATTATGGAAGATCTAGATTACAACTCCAGTGAAAAATATGGGACAAATGGGGTAGGCATATAAAAGTATCAGTTCTGACTGAAATATGAAACTTATGCAAACAACGGGGAAAAAAACCCAGCACTCTTTTTAGGACATTTTAATATGTGTGAAAACTACAAATGCTAGAACTGTGAAAGAGAAATTGGGAATGTGATCCATATGTCCTGAAAATGCCACTGCCCACAGCTAAATTATTTTTGGAGAACAGAACAGAGAACAGAAGAACAACTGCTAAAGCTGTTATAAACACAGGATCTCCCTGGTGATGCAAAGATCTTACCATGGCAGATATTAATGAGTGAGTATTGCCATCTGAATACCATATATGAAGAAATAATCTTTGGTATGTTCTAGAGTAATTACTAAGGAATACAATATTATTTATCAATTATGTCTCTAATTCTCTGAGGAGAAATGATTCTGGTAACACCAAGGAGAAAAAAAACCCCACTATTCAGGGTGGTTCACACACTGATTTTCTTCATGTAAGTGAATAGAATTTAAAAGCCTGAACTGATCTAAGTAACTCTACTGTATTAGGCAAAATCGTATTTTAAGCTTGAGAAACTTTATCATAGCATATTTTTTCAAAGTGAAGTAATTTGACTTCTGCAATATATGAAATAGCAAGCAGTAAGGCCTGTGGAGAGATTGTGCTACTGTTCTCAAAACTAAAATCACATCATGAAAGATTGGGTGACACAAGAGAAGTAATTACCAATTAACTTGGGCTGCCATTTACTTGTTCACAGTAATGTGAGGCTGAAAGGAATAAGCTTCATTTGTTCTGCTGTCAAAGACAACCAAGCCTAGTATTTCTACTCTGTACTTTTAGAAAGCAGAATCCTTGTACCAGCTGGCATTTTTTTACTTTCCACCCAAAGGCTGACCCTGGACACTTAATCCTCTGAAAATTCAGTAGCCTGCATTTCTCACATTCAATCTATTCTAGAGAGTTAGTACCCATTTATACCAACATTATCTTTCTAATACGCAACACGTACTCTCATAACTAGTTCGTGCTAGTAACTCTTGCTATGGAAAAGGATAGAGACCAACATAAAGAGTGATAGATTCAAAGAACTCAGTACGTACATTTTCTTGGCCATACCAGTAAACTATCCCTGAAAAAGTTAAAAGTTGTTTATAAAAAATTCTGAGTGGTGACAACAGATACCATCTGTTTTGTTCTGGTTTACAAAGGAATTGCGTCAATCCATGATGTATTCTATACCACCCCTCCCTCACAACAGCCACTAAGCAAAACCTCACAACAAAGCTGTGACTATCATATTGAAATAATCAAAAAATGAGTTTCTTTTCTTAAAAATGACATTTGAAAATTATATTAACGACACACTTCAGGTTCAATACGAATTTTTCTCATCTTTAAAAAAAGCCTTTGTTAAGAAATTTATGAATTCTGAAACTAAATAGTTCTCTGCACATATAATCATCAAACTTGAACTGACCTTAAGTACAGTTTTTATTTTTTGTGTCTCTATTCTTTTTTTCTCTTCATTCTTTTCTACATAGTATTTGTGGAATTCAGCATCTGGAACGAGCAGGAAACAGGTTGACCCTCTTTGACTCCCTTTATTTCTGCATAGTGACATTTTCCACTGTGGGCTTTGGGGACGTTACACCCAAGATATGGCCTTCGAAGCTGCTTGTTGTCATTATGATCTGTGTTGCTCTTGTGGTGTTGCCCATACAGGTAAAGGTGGATCTTTCTTCTCTTTAGAATTGGTTTTGAAACAAAAGAATAGTAACTGGAGTAATTTATTGTTACTATTATTATTGCACATGTCAGAAAAAGTAATGTCTTCAATACCTCTTATTCTGGTGTGGGTTTTAGTTAGTTTGTGGTTTTTTTTTTTTTAAATTCCTTTTTCCTTTGTCTATTCTCCTATAGTCTAGATTTATACGAAAAAGCAGAGCGCTAATAACATGTTTTGAGTGCTGGTGAAAGCTTTCTGTTCCTATCACGTACTACAGAGCTCTTCCTTCATCCCGAGATACGGGTTTGTTATTAATGGAACTATTGGAAAATAATCAAAACAACAGAACAAAAAACAACAACAAAACCCCTTACAAAACCAAACACTTGCCAGCACTTTATGACTACAGTATTTCCTCTGCAGGCTCTCTCTATTTCTAATCTTGTTTTTCTCTGCTTCCTCTCTTGCTCTTGCAGCTGAGTGCTAACTTGAAAAAAATATCTCATTAAATCTGCAACTCAAGCAAATTGGGTTCACAGCTGTGTGTATTGGTACACACACAGAGATCCAGCATCACAGTTAGGAATTTTTGATGCCTGCTTAAGTTCAGGACTTCTAACAGTTTCAACAGGAAAGGGCTGATGCATGAAAATCCAAGTATTTCAAGAAGTCACTCAATTTCATTACATCTGTTCCGAATATTTCATGGTTCATTAGGTGACACTTGATGTCAAAAACCCTGAGATTGGGAAGCCCTGCCAAGATGTTAACTCTTCCACACTTGGTATATTCACAATATATGGTATATTCACAATATACATCTAAGTGTGAAAATTAAATGCTTTTCTCAAATGAAAGGTTAATTTAACACGCATTGGAAAAAGAGAGCTTAAAGTTATTATATACATAAAGGAAATAAGTTATAGCCTTCATTGTTTTTTAAAATTTTGAGATTTACTGTAATCTCATGGTATTTTAATAGTTTTACCCTGCTATTTCTGTGTGACAGAGACTGGCTCTGCTGCCATGTTTTTCAATCACCCTATTCATCTCACCCACTTACTAGAGAGCTTTTTACGAAGACATTTACTAAGACATTAGCCCACAAAGACACTGTGGGCTAAGGGCGTCTTTTCACAGAGGCCTGAGATGAGCGATGCAACATTCTTAACTCATGATACAGTTATAATGCCCATCTGCTTGTCTGTATTTCACTGAACATTGGCATCTCTTGCAGTTCGAACAGCTGGCATATTTGTGGATGGAGAGACAAAAGTCTGGTGGTAACTACAGTCGACACAGAGCTCAGACAGAAAAACACGTTGTGCTATGTGTTAGCTCTCTGAAGATTGACTTACTTATGGATTTCTTAAATGAATTCTATGCTCACCCCAGATTACAGGTACTTACAGTGAAAAAAACTCGAGAATAAATTCTAAACACTGAGATTTTTGCAGACAACCTTCTGAAATGGTCTTTAATTTGTAAAACTGAATTTGGGAATAGCTGTCTGAATTGGGAATCTATAATTACAATAAGAAGCTGAGATAGAGTATGGAGGCATTCATTTTGAACTGAGGTAGTCTAAATAGATAGAATTACTGTCCTGTTCTATTATGCCAATCTTTTTAGAAACAAGTATTTCCATGGAAATCCTTTATAATCTACCCCAAACTAGAAAATGAATAAATGAAAATTGCTAAAATTATTTTTTCCTGTTGTGTTCGGTCTGGATCCAAAACTCCTCACAACTCAAAGCATCTTTGGATTTCTGCATTTTGCTTGGCTTCTTTTGCCAGTGCTAGGACCATTAGATAATTTTGGAATTGTTGAAATGAAGAAATAGACAGATGTACTATAAAGGACAAAGACCTTGAAAGATTACACACACAGTTTTCTCGGTGAAAATATTCCCTACCTAATGCAAACATATAAATGTTTATTTATATGCGATAGCAATTTGGATTCATTAACATTAGCTTTAGCTACAGACCATTTCTTTTACTAAATCTTCTCTATGTCTTTTACGGACTTACCTGTGGTACCATGATTCATTAACTAGTGCAAAAAATCACAAAAATACAATCCTCAAATTGCTAAGAAGCAATTTGACAAATCCCAAATCCAAAATATTCCCCAAAATAACGAGCTAGTAAGAGGCATAAGCAAATGCACAAAGAAATCCAGTTCTTTATAGATACAAACATAAATTGAAATCCACAAATTTGTTAACTTGCCTGAAGAAAGTCAGGCTCCATGACAGACTGAAGACAAATAAGAAAAGTTCTAATACTACTTATGTAGCCTAGAAGAGCCTATATACGTTCCCTTCACCAGTGGAATGGGAAGCTGGAGGATACAGATGATGCACTAGATCCAATGTTTTCTGCAAAAATATGTGTTGGCTAAGGCAGACTTCTATGACAAAGATGTCCTAAGCTCTCAGTCTCTCCTCACACATTCCATTTCTCTCTCCTGTTCATACATACATACATGTACTTCAGAGCAACCTTACTTTTCCTAACAAGGATTGTCTGTAGTACAGGAAACAGAGTTTGAATCTGCCCGTTAATGTAGAAGAAAAAAAATTGGGGGAGACAATTCCATTTCGATTCTTGTAAACTTTCTACATTTTCCAGCTTGAATGACAGAAATGTAACTTGTCCCTAAAAACCCCCTTATGCCTATATGGAAACAAAAATGTTTCTAAATGGACTTGAGCTGTCACCCTGGAGTCTTCTGTGAGCAGCTGACAACTGTCCAGCTAGTTTTATTATTCAATATTTTACACTCATGTATTCAAATAACTTTTGTCAATTAAATGGGAGTTATCAGAGATATTTTTGATGTCCCGAATCTCTGTTGACTCATTTTCTAGCAACAATAAATGGTAACATAAGAAAATGACTATTCCCCCTTATGTTTTTGACAGGACTATTATGTCGTTATTTTGTGTCCTGCTGAGATGGATGCTCAGGTCCGAAGGGTGTTACAAATCCCAATGTGGTCCCAAAGAGTTATCTATCTGCAAGGCTCAGCACTAAAAGATCAAGACCTGTTGAGAGCTAAGTAGGCAATTATTGACATATATTGGTTTTTAGTTTTGTTTCACTCGTACTGTATGATAAATGTTTAACAAACAACAAAAGCTGTGCGAGAAGGAAAGCATGTATTTATAAAGCAAGGCTATTTAATACAATTTGTTTTAGTTAATATCTGAAGATTTTAGAGGAACAAATATTTGTAAACTCTTTTAATTTGACCAAATTTTTCTTTGTACCTTTTCAGTCTCAGTTTTTAAATGTATTGAAACAGAGTGCTTGTGATTTCTTCTGAAAAAACACAGAAAATTCTAAAACTGCCAGTAATACCACAAATAGTGTGTTTCTTGAGTAAATTATTTCCTTGAGAAATTTTTTCTGTTCCTTGATGGCAAATTTTATGGCAGTTCTCCTCACCAAATGAAAGGAGGGAGGAAAAAAAAAGTAAACAAAAATAATGAATTTATTTAGAAACAAATATAGATATCTAAAATTAAACCAATATCTGTCTGAGTATTTGTGTCATTCAGTCGTCTTTACCCCAGGGGAGTTATTTCCAAGAATCTAGTCTGCAAGAAATCTCATGAGCAGTGTTACCTTCTTTGATTTCTGACACTGAAAAAAACCCTACTTCTATATCTGTTCAAAATTTGAGAATACAATAAAGCTTTTTTACAGGATTAGGAGTTTTCTTTTAGAGAGAGTTGTTTTGGTTTTGGTGGGTTTTTTTTTTTTGCTTTCTTGCTGATTCCAAGAAAGAATTCATGTGGGGATTTGGCTGTCATTTGTTCTACACACTAGAAGAAAAATTAGTGTGTTCCCTAGAGATAATCTTGAATTTCACTTACAATAACTTGGAGGTAGTCAACTTTGGAACTGTGCCTTATCCTGCAGAACATGTAATTGAATGTACCTGCCGTAGAATAATTTTCAACCTCTCCTGAGGAAAGAAGCATAGTGGGAATTTAATATAAAATATAACTCAGTAGCTAAGACATTTGCTGTATTTCTTCTTGATTAGAACTTAATGTACTGAGAAGATATAAAGCACACGGTAAACGACTAATAAAGTAATTGTTACCAAAAACAAAATAAAAAAGTGTCTTATTATCAAAATGTATACATATATTATGTATTAAGTTCAATATCAAAATAACATGGTAAACGTCTCACCAAAAAGTAAAGAAATACCAAAAGTTTTTTGACTGCACAAGTAGCAGTCAGTTAACTAAAGACTGTATTTTTCTTTATACGCCCTAGTACACAATTTGACTTTACAAAAATGATATTCATTTCATGTTCCTACCTTTGAGACCTTCACTTTGCAAATTTTTGGCATTCTTTGAACAGTGTTCATGTGCCCAGCTTTAACAAAAATCCCCGGAAAGAATTCTATCATGAGGTATCTCCCTGATACTTACATTGTTCATCAGCTTGACTGGAAACGTTATAGCTGCCTCAGCATTTGAAACAACACAGTAGTGGATTAAAACAGGTCTCATTCTCTTCACGTACTAGCACTAGAAAACGAGTAACACTGCTATGCTCGATTTTTTTTTCGCCTACAGCTCTCCCCCGTGTTCTGTAATGACCTAAAATATTTTTTTCTCTCTCATTCCACTTGCTTTAGTGAACCATCACAAATCTTAATCCTCTCCATGTCCACTGTTTTTCTTTACCTTATAATTTTTCCTTTCACAAATTTCTCATCAATATACGAAGTCCCTTTAATTTCTGCATCCTCAAGCAGTGGAACTATTGGGGTTTTCTGTCTCAGATTCAGTTTTCTGGCACATAAAAATGGTGTAATTCTCAAAGCTTTTTTCAGTCGATAGGACGTTAATAACACTTCTCTCATCTAATTAATGTTTTTAATGTAGATATTATTAGTGTTTCTGTTGTCTAAATTCATGACATTCATAGATGTTAATCTGAGGTTGTTATCCTTGTTATCTGTGGCTGAAGTGATTCAAGAAGTTACAAAAAACATTGGGGAAAAAGGTGTATATGTTTACATGAGGTTTCATTTCCTTACAAAATCATCTATATATATTCTGTCAATTCCAGTTACCTCATCAGCTCTCATCAAAATCTCATCTAATTTCAATGAATTTTCTTTCCTACAAATTTATTAAAGACCTTATCTTCCCAGTTCTACTCCCATGCTTAGCTAAAACTACTCATGCTGCTCCCATGATTTCTTTCTAATAAGCACTCAGAAGTGTCCTTGTGCCCTCACTTCTTCACATCAGCTGGTATTTTGGATATATTGATTTACCTTTGTCACAATGACTTTTTGCATTTCAAGTACTTTAATCTTTTGAGGCTTCTGCCAGGAGCCTATGTGGAATCCACATTGACCTGATTTTATCCTTCTGTTTTCTATATACTTTCTCTGAATGATCTCACACGAAAGACACAAATTTATTCACTATTTCTATAGTCCAGAATTAAAAGGTGCGCCAAGCTATGTGACATCTCATTACAGGTGTCTATTCATCAGCTTTAGTTTAGTTGTAGACAGTTGCAAATAGATCTTAATTTTTGCTATCAAAATAAAACCAGTATCCTGCTGTGGATCATAAGGTTAGAATCATGTTGTAGAGCATCCAGTGTAGTCTGAACCTATGTCTTGTATGTCTGTTTCTCACACAAGCTCTCATTTTTGCCCCACTTAAAACTATATCTATGTTCTTAACATGTATGATGTTGATGCCCTGAACCCTTGTTTCAGAACACTCTGGAACATTATTTATGTAGTACATCACTTCGCCTCATTGCAGTCCTTCCCTGGCTTACCCTTCTTTATTGCATCAAGGAGTAACGCCCTATTCTCACTTAGCCTGTAACTCCCAGTTCTTACTGAGAGGTAACCTTCTGAAAAGTCTATAATGCTATTCTCTTTCACACAGACCACAGATTAACATACAATTCCCATTGTGATTTCACCCATGCTGTCCCTTCAATCTAGGATGAATTTCTCAGAAATATCTGTAAAGTAATCCTGGTGTTCTCCACAGCATCCTCTCTTCTGTTGGTTCTCTGCTCTGATATCTAGTGAGACCACTTTCTACCAGGATAATTCTTTTATTCAGGTATTGACACACTGTTTATTCCTGTTTGCCACGTTTGCATATACTCTTGTTGTCCTTTGTGTGTCACTTAACTTCTATGGCAAGGACTGTCTTTTTGTTCTACGTTTGTACAGAATGAGATTTCAGTTTAAGCCTAGGGTCTCAGGAGTAAACTATTACCAAAACCACCAATTCTATTTTCTAGCAGCAGAGAAACGGAAGACTTAGGAATCTCAGGTCCCATTATGGACTCCAAAATGGAGTTGCTGTAGTGAGCAGTGAATTGCTTGTTCATTTTCCCCAGTTTTTCACCCCTTTTTCCCCTTCCCAGGAAACCCATTCTGATCATACTGTTTCTCTTTACCCAGAAAGTTCTGTCTTCCAAAGGACCAATCCCCTATTTCTTTACTTTCATGTTCCAGTAAGTAAAGTGGAATTCACTGCAGAAGGATATCAAGGTCTGAGGCAAGATAGGAAAACCAAACTTTGATGAAACCTTCAGTCGGACAGTTCTTCTCTGCATTGCCACCACCACTCTTTATTACATGACAAGTTGTACCCACTAGAGAACAGGCATTAACAGTTCTCAAAGAGACCACGAACTGAAAATAGTTAATTCATTTAACGCATACATACACAGAAAGCTTTGTTATTTATCCCTAACGTGTTATTCTACCCATCTTTCTGCTATCACTAGGCAAGACAAGTTGATATTATCTGTCCCCTCTCATTCATTCTTACCAATAACAACTTGTACATGTCATACCCTTACACACCTTGCAAACTGGTGCTATTTATTCCCCTTTTATACTCATGGCAGATAAATATTTATTTTTAAAATTAAGTGTGTTTGAGGCTACCCTGCTTTTATTACTTTGGCACAGTTTCTGCTGCCCACAGAACCCAGTCAGTAAGTATTGGTACACTGTGAGTTAGTGCACAGGGTGACTATTGGTGACATTCAGATAATACATGAGAACAGATAGAGTAAGCTTGCTCTGTATTCTGTTTCTGTAAGCATACAAGACTATAAACTGTGAAACGCAAGTCCACATAAGTATTGCTGTTTAACAGGCTTGTGTCCCTTTTTCTAGAATGGATGATGCTGAAGCTTGTTTCATTCTGAGTAGCCGCTGTGAGGTAGACCGGACTGCAGCTGTAAGTTTTGAAGAAATAACTAAGAATGAATGTGCATGTTGTTTATACATTTACTGCCCTTATTCCCTGTCAGCTACTGAGACTTCTTCTGTGAATGCAAGATTAAAATTAGCTGATTTACACAGAGATTTTGCATTTAGGATGAGCTCAGTTAAGATAATGAAAACATTTCTATTTGATTCTGCAAGGTCAGAATTTCACAAAATTATGAAATATAATCTAATGGCTTATTTCACTTACCATATCTACTTAGGATTTTTTTTTAAATAAATTACATGACTCATCTGCTAAAGAAGTTAGAATTTTACAACACATTTTAGTAATACATTGAAGAAGAACTAAGAATCTGGCAACATCAAACCCCGTGCAGTGAAGCTGCACACAACTTGATAAATTAGCTCTATCTTCCTAGGCAATGTATCAATGGAGGCTGAACAGCCTCCATTCTCTCAGCCTTTCCTCACAGGGCCTCTGCTTCTGCCCCTGACCGTCTTGGTGGTCCTCTGCTGAGCTCAGTCTGGCTCATACCTCTCTTTGCTGTGTTAAGGGCCTGCAACCTGGATAGTGTCTAGATTACCTAGCTTGTGTTGAGCAGAGGGGCATAATCACTGCCTTCTATCTACTCGCTGTGCTCCTGTTAAAGCAGCCTGGGATGCTGTCAGCCTCCCCCGCTGCCAGAGCACACTGCCAGCCCATGATCAGCCCACTCTCTGCCAGGAGCCCCAGGTCTTTTCTAGCAGAGCTGCTGTCCGGCCGGCCAGCTCCCCGCCTGTACCAATGCTGGTGGTTACCGAGTCCCAGAGGCAGGACTTTGCTTGTGCCCTGGCTGAATTTCATGAGGTTCTTGTCACCTCATTCCTTCATCATATCTGGACCATCTGAATGGCAGTCCTGCCCTCACGTGTTCAGACTGTTCCCTCCAGTTTTGTCTTGCCTGCAAACCTGCTGAATGTGCACTCTTTATTAACAGAACAGGTTCCAGTGCAGATCTTTGTGACACTCCATGTGCCACAGGTCTCTGGGTAGAGTATGTGCCGTTTGCCACTGCCCTAAGACACCAATATCTAACAGTATTTTACCATATCGTTTCCACTCATCCAGACTGTAATGTCTGAATATGGAAATGAGAATACTGCCTGAGCATTCCTGTGTCCAGAATTACAGCTTCCCAGATTATCCTTTTCTTTGAAGATGGATAAAGCTATTATTTTTTCTGCCATTGTTGGGAGACCTCCTCCATTCTCCACAACCTTTCAAAGATAAGAAAACAACCAAGAAGGACATCGGCCTGCTCTCTCTGCACTCATCTGATCCTGTGGGCTCATACGGGTTGAGTTCTCAGAAGCAATCCTTGCCTAAAAACATCCACTGCTGGTAATTCTTCTGCTTGAAGCCTGCCTCAAAGCAGAGGCCTGAGAGACCTTGTTGGTGAACACAGAGTACCTCAGCCATGTCTTGTCTGCAGAATTATTGGATTTCTGTATATGTGTACATATATTTATGTACTTAAATAAATGTAATATACAAAATACATAATATTACTTATATAACATATATGTAAACATCGATACTACCTGGTGTTACATAGTCTTCAAATGAGTTTTCTTCAATGGAGTCAGTCTGTGAGAGATTTTTTTTCTAACGTAACATGGTTATTTGTATTTAATTGTCATCATCTCATACTCCTTATTCTAGGATCATCAAACCATTTTAAGAGCATGGGCAGTTAAAGACTTTGCTCCAAATTGTCCTTTGTATGTCCAAATACTGAAACCTGAGAATAAATTCCACATCAAGTTTGCAGGTAAGTGTAAGATTTCAGCCATTTGAAACACGTATTAGTATCTGGCAATTTGTTCCGTAAGCACACAAGGCAAGTGAGATTGCCTAGGCTTATTTAATGGTTAGAAGCAGATTAAGAGTGCATTATTATAAAATAATATGGGCTGTATATCTTATCAATAATAAAATGTCATGTCTTACATTAAAATCTTATCTATAAGCACTTTTAAGTATTATTAGTCTCTTATGTTACATAATACATGGACTAGAATTATTTGATATATAACAGATAGTTACCTCTCAATTACAGATTCAGGTAGGCTTCCACCTTGCTATATCCATGTCTTTAAACCATTTCTGTCTACTAAAACATACTGTTACTAAGGAGTACATGAGAAGATGTGCTCAGGAAAGGCCAAATTTTATACAACAAACAATTGAAAAAAATCTTCCCATTGGCAGATACACCATCCAAGTAGTAGAGTACACCCTACTCTTTCAAAATCTCTAGCTTAAAATTTAAATAGAGTTATTAATGGCACATGGTCAACCAAAAGAAGACATTTCTCTCTGAAATATTTTTTGCAAGAAATAATTGCTGTAACTGAAATATACTTAAGAAAAAAATCTCATTCTGTTCTATATATGATAGTATATTTCTATAACCAAATTAATTCCTTCCCTATGACATTTAAATAAGCCTTGATCTTCAGAAACTGCGAGAATTAATTTCTTCTTTCCGTAGTCAATGATTCTGTTGCTGACAAGCCTCTGGAAATTTCCAAAAACAGGAATAGAGAATGCATACAAAGTATGTCCTCACTTTTGTTTCCCTAAATGGCATAATTATAGCTAGACTATAAATTCTATCTACAAAGTAGCTTAGTTAGAGAGGTAAGTTGGTTCTAAGGATTTCAGTGATACATTAGTGCAACTAGAAGTAGAGGTATGTAGACAGCTCAGATGTAGGTGGAAAGATTATTTACTTATTTTTACACAGCAGTTTTCATATGGCTTATGTTTTTAACATCAGATGTACTACTTGCATTGTCTTTGCATCAGAAACAAATTCTGCTTCCATTGAAAGTAACAAACTGAATCAAACACTAAATTCAGAAGAAAAAAAAAATTACTTAGCATGCAATAAATGACTTCGTGACCTTAGAAAACCTTTGTGACTTCAAGTTTCTACACTGGCAAGAAATTTAATTAAGTTGTAACGATTATCCCTTCCTATATCTAGTTTAATACTTTCACAGGTATACATGAATGACTTTAAAGAGTAATTTCTATTTCTTTTTATGCCGTCACCAGTGCTGGAGAGCATTTAACTATGATATGAATTTTAAGTACTAGCCATCCAAGTTGAATATAATTTTTACAATACTGAAAGCCTGTGCAGAAAATTTGGTAGTTTTAAGTATAAGCCGATACAGAGGGCTAGATGTAATGCTTCTGTTTCTTTCTCTTGTCTTGCCCCCTCCCCTAAATTCCATTAAAAGGCAGAAAAAAATAGGTATGTCTATAGTAATGTACCATCACAGCGAGTAATAATGTGCGGGTATACTTCCTTGTACGGACTCACAAAAACAAAGCACACTTTTGTGATTTAAAAAACAAAACAAAACAAAAAAACACAAAAAAAAAACCACCAGAGAAGGATAGGGGTAAGAAGAAGAAAAGTTGTAAAAAACTGGAAAAGAAAAACAGCAACCACCTAGGCTGCAAGATGCAGCACCTGTTATACCAGTTTATGCAAAAACTGCAGAAGGTGCAAGAGATGCCAGCTGGAATATGCTACATGGCCAACTGGAATATGCTACAACTGGTGCAGCAAGATAGTGGGATTCACAGAGCCATTGCATCCTCTCCAGGTGTAGCTGCAGGACAGAAATTATGAACTGGATACAAAATTAACTGCTCATGTAATCTGAGAGATAGCATGGATGGGGCAAATCATACACAGCTGCTCTCCAGGTTCAAGTGGAAGATGAAGATCTTGAGGCAACTTCTGGTTGTCTCTATCTTCATCGTTTTCCTAGACAAGGAAAGGAAGTGATAATTCTGTTCAGTGGAAAATATTTTTGTAAAACAATTTATATATTTTTTTTTTTCTACAGATCATGTTGTGTGTGAAGAAGAATTCAAATATGCTATGCTAGCTCTAAATTGTATATGCCCAGCTACATCTACATTAATCACACTGCTGGTTCATACATCTAGGGGACAGTAAGTATATACCACCAAACAAACATACAAACAACCCCAAAAAAACAACCTCGTAACAATTATAGCAGATATTCTTTGGAAAATAGCTTACCCTGAACTCCCAGGCAACTACAGTTTTTCAAGACAAATCAGAACATTCTGCACGATAAAACCATCACTCAAGATATTATAATTTCAGAGGACATCCACCCCTCCCCTCCAATATTTTACAATTTGTTGCATGCTGTTGTGCCTCTTCCACAATAGACGATACAGAAAATTTATATTATCAGTTTAGCAGATTGAGTTGTGGATCTATCACACAGTTCTAATTAAGAACACCAACAAGACCCAAGAATACCTATTTTAATATGTTATTTTGAAGGTCTACTTTTGTACACCTATAAAAATTCCTATTCACCGGGCTCAAAAAATGTTTTTCCGATAACATATAAAATATTATTTGCTATTCAGTGCCTGTACGTTAAGAAGCAAGTAAACGTATATATGAGATGTTTTTTAATATTACTATGTCTCTAAAGATTGCATAGTCACAGTAAAACTTTTCCATATTTACCAAGATAATTTTACCACATCTAGTATATCTCTGTAAAGCTGTATTCTTGGAATAATAAGGTGTTCTTATTAAAATGTTGTGGGCAGAGAGAGGCATTAGAGAGTAAATCTCCAAATATATCTATAGAAAGGGAATATGTGCATATAGGCTGCAAAATAACGCATTTGAGAGTCTAGTAAAAATGCAGACTTTTTTTCAAGTAACCACAGTCCCAGTAATATCTTGATATTTACAAGCAGAGTTATTTAACCTTCTACATGGCATTTGTAGTATTCCCCTGTGCCCAGGATGGGGTAAACTGAAATTATTGCTAAAACATTTACTACCAAGAACAACAAATGTCAAGATTTTAATGACACTGTCTGTACTAGAATCTGCTAAGACGGCAAAAGAATACTGTTTCCAGGCCTCCTGAGGACCATGGGAAACACATTCTGCATCTCCCTAGTCTTCATTATCTGACATGCACAGAATATAGAGCCTTTATTAGTTGTTTTACATTACATGTACATGAAAGAAGAGCAGTATTCATAACATCTAGCAGAGAATTTTACATCGGCACAAAACCAGACATATGAAAGGGAGTCTCTTTTCTGCTGGACTTAAGAACTTTAGCATTTAATTTTTAACAGAAGCATATTGATCATTTATACAGATACCCAACTAAGAGGCAAAGTAACTATAGCAAAAGAAATATAAAACTATTTCTTTTGCAATCATAATTAACTAATGTGATCAGGGTTGTTAAAGTAACTAATTTCTAGTCTAATCATTGTAGGCTAGGAGCAAAAAAGTATTTTTTGCACAAGTAGTTGTCAGCATTACTTTGAATCCTTACAGAAACATACCATCTTGCTGTACAAATACAGAAAAACTGGAAAAGTGAAAATGTCTGGTTGTCATTCTTCTACTTTATTCAGAACTCCTCAGAGCATTTGATCTCAGATGGGCTCCAAAATACCAAAAAACAACAAACTTTAGACCTCTTGGAGCATGTGTATTAATGCTGGACTAATTGGTTGAATAGATATGACTGTTCTTTCAAACAACACTATATCTGTGAAAGATTAAAACAGACACATTTACATCTGTAAACAAAAAGAAACACACGTACATAAACTAAACCCACTGTATCTTCTGGTATTATTATGTAAGGAAACTGGGAAAATGTTCGTTTTCTAAGCAACTTTGTCCAGATCAGCTTGCTATTCAAATTTAGGGGAAGTTTGCTGCTGTTTATATGAACTGACTTTAGTCTTTAATGCTACTTTTCAGATAAAAGAAACTAGATGTAAATAATTCCATTGCCTCCTCAGCTGTTTTTTGGAATTCAAACCCTCATTCTGTGAGACCCAAAATTCTACCTTGAACCTTATTTATAATTTTACTATTGATCTTAATTATAAATCTTAAATATGTATCTATAAATGTTATCTTATTATCTAATGTAGTAATGGAACTTTATGGTTGTATTATATTGTATTATAATACACAACATTGGAAGAAAATAGTGTTTCTGACTTGAACTTAATGTGATATTTACAGAACAGCCCCATGGGAAGCTTTTAGACAAGTAGCTGGAACCAAGCAAACTTTAAACAGGTGAACATTTTATTTTAGGGGAAAAAGTAAAACACGGGAAAATTTTATTCTGTAATTGCATTTTAGTTCTGCTATTCTACCACCTAGCGTACTGTTTGTTAATACTGCTGCAATAAAAATGGTTTACTTATTTTCATGCTGAAACAAACACATTTCTATGTTGAGAGTGGAGAAGAGTGTTAAGTTGAAGAAAAACAGGAATTGGTTTTAGATATTGAAAATATATAAATGAGCACAAAGATGCATATCCCAATATCTTCAGATCTTAGCTCAAAGTGGCAAAACACAGAGCACATTTGTCACTTTTATGTCCTATCTGCATATATATCTATCTATATACATATGCATCCATTATATCCAGTAAAACTCATGTAGACAGAAACTTGTTTCCACATAAAACTTACAGAGGTTCACAAAAGCCCCAAGTCTGCAAGTTTTGGTGTTAGCTGAGGTTTGGAACATTTCCACTAACAGTCCATTTGGACAAAGACTGTTAGCTGCATATAGTAAAGAACGTCAAGGTTAAGTAATAATTTATTTTCTTGTGCTAGAGAAAATAAAGTATATACTTGTCATAATATACAGGGCAGAGTAACTGAAAATGTCCGCAGGGTAAATGCTGAAGATAATAAGCAAATCAGAAAAACATCTTGCTTTTAAAGTGAACAAATCTTATAAAGTGATACAAGTTATTTTTAATGATTCTTTACCTACTTCAAACCTGAACCATACAATCTACCAAGAAGCATCTGAATAGACTGTTTTTATGAATAGATGAGCATGCTGTTGGTTTTACCTGTCATCTTTAAACTGCAACCAATCTGCTTATTATGGTGAATTTAAAGTAATTCAGCCATATTTCTCCTGATATTGAAGTACATAATCTTCTATGCCTATTAATTAGCAGAAAATGCTCTTAAATTCATTAAAATAATCTCTGTACTTACAGTATTACCAAGCTTTCATCTCAGATATTACATTCAGGTTAGCCTAGGGGACATTTTTGATAGACATCTTTGGTTTCTATTGGCATGAACTAATCTTCTGATTAATAAGAATTCTACATTAAGTTTTAAATTATTCTCTTTTTCTGTACACGTTTCAGGGAGAGTCTGCAATCACCGGAACAATGGCAGAAATTGTATGGCAGATGTTCTGGTAATGAAGTGTATCATATTAACCTGGAAGAAAGTACTTTTTTTGCTGAGTATGAGGGAAAAAGCTTCACATATGCTTCTTTCCACGCACATAAAAAGTATGTTTATTATTCTATCAATAATCAAATGTTCAAACAAATAATTTGTTTTGCCCTCAATATAGCTCCGTATTCAAAGATGCAGTATTACACATTACTCTGTTTCTGGGTTTAAATATCTGACCATTAATATATTTCATGGATATTTTTCTGTAAGTTACAGCTGGTTAGGTAAAAGCTCATGTTGGTTCTGTGTACGCCAGCTGTGCCTAAGAGAAAAGAATATAAAGCTTATACAGAATAAACCTGACAACCAATTAAAAATACTACTTTAGAGCGGTTATATAAGAACACCAGTCCCTTTCCATATCCAAAACAATCTAGAAAGATGAATGAGAGTTAGTGGTTGTGTTTTAGGTTTGGGGTTTTTTTCTTCATTAATTCAGCTGGACATCTGGCTTCCTTTGTGGTATGTTAATTTTATGCAAAATGTTCAATTTAAAGGTGGTATATACTACTTTCTGGTGATTGGTCAAGATAAAACCATATTTTTTGTTAGACGAATCTTTAGGTTGCAAATCATGTATCACTTATTCAGTGCTTCTGTGAGGTGAGCATACAAATGGAACACAAATCATATATTCATGTATATATGTATATAATATATGTTCATATATATAACAAAATGAACATATATTAAACCCTGAACACTGAGTTTATTCTCATACTTAATGTGACAGAAACTACTTGATCAGTAGTGGCATTATTTAGGAGACAACATTTGTAAAACATTTTTCATCCTAAAATCTGAAAGTGTTCATAGTCTTCAAAATATAAAAGTATACTGGAGGTTCATTTTTGACAGTGCAAATTCTGGTATATGCAGGACTATGAAAATGAACCATGCCTTTCCTTTTCTAATTAAGGTTTGGAGTCTGTCTGATTGGTGTTAGAAAGGAAGATAACAAAAACATTTTGCTGAATCCAGGTCCTCGATATATCATGAGTTCTACAGATATATGTTTCTACATACATATTGCCAAAGAAGAGAATTCTGCTTTTAAGAAGCAAGAAAAGCATATTAAAAATCATGAATCAAATTATTATCCTGGAGCTTCTAGGTTACCTGTACACAGTGCAATAGCCAGCATGGGTAAGTTAAAAAAAAAAAAAAAAGAAAAAACCACAAACCACCCCAACCCCCCCAAAACCAAAAACCCCAAAGCTCAAAAATACATTGTATTCCTAAAATTTTAAGAAATAATAGAGTACAGAATGAAAAAATATTAAACACTTGCCCTCATATTTAAAACAAACAAGCAAACCAAAACAAATGAAATTTGGTTATGTTTTTCTTTTACTTGACAATATGGAATTAAACCAATTAAGACTGTTGTATAAAAAGTAATAATAAAATGTATGCAAAACCAAACAACTGAGAATATCACATGGGTCATTCTTTGTCATTCATAACTAGTCATCTGTAGAAAGTTTTCATAAGGTTCTTTAATTAAAAAAAAATCCCTTGCACAGTAAAAACCTACAAGTTGTTAATACATATTAATATAGATTCATTACGTAGGGTATGATTTTAAAAAGGTATCTTACAAGACAGTATATATTAATGATCAGAAGAAGTGATACTTGGCAGGAAAAGGTTTCCTCAGGTACAGTTTAAATATTTACGTCCTGCACAGGGGTCAGGGCAATCCCAAACACAAGTACAGGCTGGGCAAAGAATGTCTTGAGAGCAGCCCTGAGGAGAAGGACTTGGGGGTACTGGTGGATCAAAAGCTGGACATGAGCCAGCAGTGTGTGCTGGCAGCCCAGAAAGCCAACCATATCCTGGGCTGTATCCAGAGAAGCATGGCCAGCAGGTCGAGGGAGGGGATTCTCCCCCTCTACTCTGCTCTTGCGAGATCACACCTGGGTACTTTTACAGCTCTGGATACTGACCAGTTGGAGTGAGTCCGGAGGAGGCCATGAAGATGCTCAGAGGGCTGGAGCCCCTCTGCTATGGGGACAGGCTGAGAGAGTTGGGCTTGTTCAGCCTGGAGAAGAGGAGGCTCCAGGGAGACCTTATTGCACCTTCCAGTACCTGAAGGGGCTACAAGGAAGCTGGGGGGGACTTTTCACAAGGGCCTGTAGTGACAGGACAAGGGGTAACAGGTTTAGACTGAAAGAGAGAGATTGAGATGGGACATCAGGAAGAAATTCTTCCTGGAGAGGGTGGTGAGGTACTGGCACAGGTTGCCCAGAGAAGCTGTGGATGCCCCATCCCTGGAAGTGTTCAAGGCCAGGCTGGATGAGGCTTGGAGCAACCTGGTCTAGTGGAAGGTGTCCCTGCCCATGGCAGGGGGGTTGGAACTAGATGGTCTGTAAGGCCCCTTCCAACATAAACTATTCTATGATTTTATGATTGTATGATTCATTCTGTGGTTCTATTTGTCATATTTTAATGTAATAAACAATCAATGTAGTTTTCCTTTCAGTCTTTGACCATGTAGTCAGGTAATCCCCACTAAATATGGGAATCTTATTCAAATGTTTGGACAACCACACTGAAAAAATGCTGTCAACATTACTTCAGGGACAGTGGCTATCGATTTACAAGATACAGGAAGCCGAACATCCAGTGGAGATACGCTAGCTGTTCCTTCCGAGGGAGGTAAAGAGAGCAGACGGCCCAGTATAGCACCTGTTTTGGAGGTTGGAGACTTGTCCTCACTTCAGACGTGTGATCTGCTAAGTGACCAGTCAGAAGATGAAACTACCCCTTGGGATGATGAAGCGACTGCAGGCTTAGAGTATGTAAATTAAATATGAAATAACATAACTTGAAAAGCTAATATTATGTAAATGGCATGGATAATTTTTTGACAGACAGATCAATCCAAGCAGTTGTAGCTAGCAAGACCCATAAACACCAGTTATGGAATTGTTCCCTTTTATGACATGCTATTGTCTGTTAGCAGAATGTTGTTATGCCTATTTTGCAATTAAAATAAACCCCAAAAAACTCCTCCATTTGCTGAAGATTTTCTATACTCAAGTATAATGATCTAGTTGTGTATTACATATTTCTTAATAGCATTTATATGATGATTTTTTTACATTGTATAAAGACAGGACTCAACTAATTTGTAAACAGATGAGTATTTCTGCCCTGAGAATGCAGTGATAATCACATTATTCAACAAGCTTGTTGAATGCTGGGGCTAGGTGTCTGACTTTAAGATGTAGGAATGACAAAAAAAGCAGCCTGAGAAAAAATTGTTACATCTAATTTAAAATGCTTGTTGGCATGTTACTGAAAGTAATGATGTATTACTCAGATAAAACCAGAAGATTCAATCCTGTAACTGCCATGGAGATAAGCAATTATGTTTATTGCATTACTGTCAGGGATGTTAAAACTGAAATACACAATTAAGCCAGCAGCTCACCTAGCTTGCTCTAATGGTAGGAAGCGTAAGAAGCAGCCCCAGGGAAGATCATAAAACTCTGGTAAAAAAAAATATAAAAAGTCATGTTAAAACTGCAGACTGAAATACCAGAATTTAAAAGGCCTCTTATTAAAAACTAAGGCCAATTAGAAATTTCTTCTCAGCAAGAGGATTTGCCATTTAAAATTTTTTCCATCTATGCTGAAAGTATGTTATTAAAACAAGAAGATAATGACCTCACTCATTCTTGGTGTTTGAAAGATACATGGAGAAGGAAGAGCAGAAGTACCACAATGTTTCTATTTTTTTACCTTCTTTTTGTTTTTTTCTTCCTTAGAATTTTCCAGTAAATGCATTCAAAAATCTAGGACAGCACACTATTATACATTAGCCCATTTACAAAGATGCATATACAAAAGAAACCGAAGTAAAATTCCTTTAGTCCACAAAAGCATGATAGCTTTCACTAAATTGTATCAAATTGGTCGAATATACAAAATATATTCCTTTGATCCTTCTTAAACATAGGTTGTTTCATGTACTTGACTTGGCTAGTCTACAGATAACTGCAAAACTCACACATAGGTATAAACATCCCATAGAATAGTTGTATAATCAACTGTCTTGCAGTAATTTGCTATACTGAAAAACGTTTGTTCTATTCTCCTAGATATGCCAAAGGCTATCCTCCTTACTCTCCATATATTGGAAGTTCTCCCACATTTTGTCATCTTCTGCATGAAAAAGTACCCTTCTGTTGCCTAAGACTAGATAAGGTAAAGGGGGTTTTTGTTACTGGATGAAACTGCGTTCTCATTTGTTTCTTGCATCTGAACAGAGTTAAATTCTGGTTTCTGCTTAGCACTTACTAGCCTATAATATGTTTTCTCATCCTTTTCATCACCAAGCATTTATGTCTAATAAGGTCTATATCAGTTCATCTGATACAATTTTCTATTTCTAATAATAATACCCTTTTGAGTTTTATATCTCTTTATTCATATTCACTCAACTTGTTCTTATTTTGATTTTAGGGATGCCAACATAACTACTATGAAGATGCCAAAGCCTATGGATTCAAAAATAAATTGATTATAGTTGCAGCAGAAACTGCTGGAAATGGCTTATATAACTTTATTGTTCCACTCAGAGCTTATTACCGACCAAAGAAGGAACTAAATCCCATTGTATTACTCCTGGATAACCCGTAAGTAGATTTTAAAACTTTTTTGCTGATACCTTTTAAACTCATTTTACCATTGTGTCAATAGATGATCACTCTTCACATAACCAACTTAAAATCAAAAGCATTATGGCACATTTATCTTTGAGAAAATTTAGTGACAAAAATAATAGCCTATGTTCAGCATCATATACAAAATTGACTTTTTACTGACTGTAAATGGCCATAGTGAATTTTTCATGGGCAATATTTCAGATAAGTATTCCTTAAAAATATCCACAATAATGTGAACATTACTGCTAAAATTAAATAACTTCATAAACACTGCAAAAAGCAAGCTGTGTTACAGTTTCACAGCTACATGACAGCCCTTCAGACAAAAGGGTTTAACACAAGGCACTTAGTGGGCTGCACCAGATTAGTATATTTTTAATAATTTTAGACTTTAAGATAAACAATTCTTCAAGATAGTAGAACACCCACCCACCCACCCTTCATCTGCAGTTATATAAGTCATGGGAGAAAATTAAAACCTGCAAAAATGTTGTTACTACCATATCTGTCTAGAGCTTGCTGGAATTCTTAGCTTTTCTTGCATTATCTGTTTAAAACATGAGACAAATTCTTCTCTGGCAAGACTGATTAATTTATAATCTGACAATGAATGAGACATTTTTTTTGCAACACCAGTACTGCTCAAGTACTTTAAAACACAGTTTGGAAGACACAGAAACAAAGGTTAGCCATATACAGAAATTTAGATCAAACTATGACTCAAAGAAATGACAGAAGCAGAATGTCTTACAGGTTCTGATCCCAGGCTGAGACTTCCCTTTGCATATATATGTTCTAGGTTAAGTGATTTATCAGAGAAAGGCCTGCTGTGAAGTGTCCCACTTTCGCATCAGACAGCTCTGTGGTGAAGCTGTATACATTTTTTTTTGCAAAACAGAAGCTTTTTTATGTACATGTTATGGCATAAAGTGAATTACACAAATTGGTAGAAGCCTAAATTAGACTGAAGGACTTCTGAATCATGCTTAAGATTAAAGGTGTGAGCACACAGTGCCCTCTAGTGCTTGTTCTCTTTTCCAGCATAGTGAAATGATAGGACATTTTATGGCTAAACCCACTTTTTATTACCATAAAGTAAAAGCTACGATTGCTAATTAAACTAATACGCTTAGTGTTATATCTCTGTACACAGCACTTGCAGTGACTCCTCTGAAAGGCCAACATTCATGGGACTACAGAAGCTAGCTGAAAAGCCAGCATGTTTTTCATACATGCAGGAGACAGAAATCAGGCTGCCATTCAAATAAATTGGAATTTTGTACTTTATTTCACTAGATTTAGGAATTCAGCAACCTTTGATGAGCAGATCTATGCCTTTTTGTTATATTCTTATTTTCTCTATTTATCAAGGCAATTTATTACACTACGTTTATTCTGATATCTACACATCACGTTTTACGACCTCTGATGTTTCATGGTATGTAAGAACAGACACAGTAAAATTTATGATTAAAGAAGCAATTAAATAAAGTACAGTATCTTAATTTTCACATTCCATTTAAAAAATAAGGTTTCATCTAAGATTGACTTGAATGGAGCTGTTGGCACAAAAAACAAATGACACCAGGGTTTCCTCTGCACATTTTCATTAAAAATTCTTACTGCTTATATGAAGTACTCCTAAGTTATGTGTTGGAATACGACTTGGTTGTGAGCCTTTGACACTGGTCATTCATTCTTCTATTTGGAATTGTACTGTGCCATAAAATTTCTGATTTAAGAGGTGCATTTATTAATGTAAGCATGTTAATTCTGATCATTCTTTATGATCACAGCAAACTTAATTCACAGCTTTCTGCAAATCTATTTCCTGCTTAAAGTGTTATTATAGTGCCAAAGTTCAATTTTTTTTGTTTTAAAGCTATCAGTTTATTGAAATATTTTAGAAGAGATGCTGCTGTTGTGATACTGTGTTTCATTTTGTAATCCCATCTGCTGCTTAGGCCAGATATGCATTTTCTGGATGCAATCTGTTGGTTTCCAATGGTTTACTACATGGTGGGCTCTATTGACAAGTAGGTGAAATAACTGTTAGAAAACTTAACATTATAGTGCTCAGTGGTTTGTTGTGTGTGTTGTCATTGCATGTTTAATTGTGTGTTGTATTTGAAGATGATCTTTTTCCGTGCATGGTTTGTGTTTGTGTGCTACAATTGGCGGTTTCAAATTTCTGACTTGTAAAGGATATCGTTAGTGAGAAGTGTCACAGGGAACACAGGTTGATATCTTCAAAAAATGTGATTGTGGGAAAGAGCAACCCAAAGTGTTTATTGCCAAAAGTTACTGTAATGAAGCAAGTTGTTGCAGCATGTAAAGACATAATGTCTTCCCAAATAGCTGTTGAAGGCTTATTTTAAAAAGTTGAAATAAATGCATTGTTTTAGCAAAAGGAGAGGGATTGAAACAACCTACTGAAGCACATTCTGTATGACTTCAAGGAAAATAGTTATTCATAGTCTATTTACCAATTGAGATGATATACTGGATATAGATTATATTGGAAGTTATGATATGTACATGGAGCTGAAGGGAACCAGCAATTCAGCCTGTGATCTGCAAATTCCAATCATCCCTATTTTTACTGTGTTCCATATTTAAGTTGCTTGTTTCTTTCTTTTTTCCAAAGCCTAGATGACTTACTAAGATGTGGGGTCACCTTTGCAGCTAATATGGTGGTTGTGGACAAAGAAAGTACTATGAGCGCTGAGGAAGACTACATGGCGGATGCTAAGACTATTGTAAATGTTCAAACACTCTTCAGGTAAGGCATTTTTGATATCTCTATACATCCTCATTAATTGTGAAATACTTAATACCTTTTATATCTAGATAAGAAATGCTTTTTTTTCTTTCCTCCTTCTACTTAAGTTTTCCCTTATATGAATTTGTGTCTTCCATGGGCAAATATTTTCCCTCCCTTCTTACCTGTACGCTCAGAAACCTGAGATATTCTCATGAAATCTCAGATTAAATTCTATGTATGCCAAAACTGGATGATCATTTTAAAAGTCAACTGTTAGGTTTGCAGGAAGGAAAAGAAAGCTACTCTTGAGGACTTAGGACCAAAGATAGTTGGGAAAAAACATTTTCCTACAGTGCAGCAGTATTTCACAGTAATGCTAAAACCAATACGAAAAGCAGATCCTTCTAACACTAAAAGGTAAGCAATGCTTCCCTATGAAGGTAGTAGTACTGTTCTCATTTTGAATATTTAGTTTTGAACAAAAATTCGGTTTTAGGCACAAATATGCAACATTATGTATGACAACATACTAACAGTCATGAAGGAATAACAATACAGAATGAAAAAAGGATCAGTCTAGTAAAGAGGCTGAGAAGGTAGTGCTGTGGTGAAGAGCTAAACACACTGAGATCTCCTGTTCACTTGAGAACCTCAAACCTTATTAAAAACCCCTCAACCTTAAAGTCTGCTGTTAGCATTTCTGCATGTGCTCAAAAGAAGCAAAATCTACATATCACAAGAAACTAGTTCTGTCTTTTTCTATGTTTTTTAATTTGTACCTGACAGTAGCACGTGTGTGTTTCCTGATCACACCTACATTTAGAAACTACAGCTGAACTTAATCTGTCCATCGGTCAAATCTACTCTTAAATATATTGTGCTAGGGCATCTGACTGAGGTTTTGACATACAGCACTTAATTTTCTCAGAAATACATTTTACCCCCAAATATAAAACAGAAAAAATAGTTGAATAACAAAATAAAACTGCACCACTCAGCTTGTTGTCATCTGCAAACCTGCTGAGGGTGCACTTGATTCCACTATGTATGTCACTGATGAAGATGTTAAACAGTAGTGGTCCCAGGACAGACCCCTGAGGGACACCACTTGTCACTGATCTTCATCTGGACATTGAGCCATTGACCACTACCCTCTGGATGCGACCATCCAGCCAATTCCTTATCTACCAAACAGTCCAACCATCAAATCCATACCTTTTCAATTTAGAGAGAAGGATGTTGTGAGGGACTATGTCAGAGTACTTACAGAAGTCTAGATAGATGACCTCTGTGTCTCTTCCCTTGTCCACTGTTGTAGTCACTCCATCATAAAAGGCCACTAGGTTGGTCAGGCAGGACTTGCTCTTGGTGAAACCATGCTGGCTGTACCAAATCACCTCCCTGTCCTCCATGTGCCTTAGCATAGCTTCTAGGAGGATCTGTTCCATGATCTTTCCTGGCACAGAAGTGAGGCTGACAGATCGGTAGTTCCCAGGGTCCTCATTTCTACCCTTTTCAAAAATGAGTGCAATGTTTCCCATTTTCCCATCCACAGGGACTTCACCTGGCTGCCGTGACTTTTCAAATATCATGGAGAATGGCTTGGCAACTACATCAGCCAATTCCCTCAGGAGTCTGGGATGCATCTCATCAGGTCCCATAGACTTATGTATGTTCAGGTTCCTCAGGTCACGGAATCACTAAGGTTCAAAAAGAGCTATAAGATCATCTTAGTCCAACCATCAACCCAACCCTGCCATACCCGCTAGACCATGTCTTCAAGCACCATGTCTACGCGTTCCCTGAACACCTCCAGGGATGGTGACTCCACCACTTCCCTGGGCAGCCTGTTCCAATGCCTGACCACTCTTTCAGTGAAGACATTTTTCCTAATATCCAATCTAAACCTCCCCTGATGCAACTTGAGGCCATTTCCTCTTGTCTATCCCCAGTTACCCAGGAGAACAGCCCAGCGCCTGCCACCCTACAACCTCCTTTCAGGGAGCTGTAGAGAGTGATCAGGTCTCCCCTCAGCCTCCTCTTCTTCAGGCTAAACAACCCCAGCTCCTTCAGCTGCTTCTCATCAGACTTGTTCTGCAGACCCTTCACCAGCTTTGTCGCCCTTCTCTGGACACACTCCAGCATGTCTATGTCCATCTTGTAGTGAGGTGCCCAAAACTGAGCACAGTACTCGAGGTGCGGCCTCACCAGTGCTGAGTACAGGGGCACAATCCCTTCCCTGCTCCTGCTGACCACACTGTTCCTGATACAGGCCAGGATGCCGTTGACCACCTTGGCTACCTGGGTACACTGCTGAATCATATTCATGGTTGTTGGCCATCGACCAACACCCGCAGGTCCTTTTCTGCCTGTCATCTTTTCAGCCCCTCTTCCCCAGGCCTGTTATGACTGGGGTTGTTGTGACCTAAACGCAGAAGCTGGTACTTGGCCGTGTTGAACCTCATACAACTGACCTCACCCAATCGATCCAGCCTGTCCAGGTCCCTCTGCAGGTGGTCATCAGCCTGATCTTCTCTTACACTAGGAAAGTCTTTGCTCCCCCAGTCCCTGCCCTGAGGTCCATCTACTTGAGAGGCATGTGAGGAGAGGTTGCCAGAGAAGACTGAGGCAAAAAAAAATTGTTGAGTACCTCAGCCTTCTCCTCATCTGCTGTTACCAGTTTTCTAGTCTTGCTCATCAGAGCAAGTACACTTTCTTTGACCTTCCTTTCCTGGCTGACATACCTGTAGAAGCCTTTCTTATTAGTCTTTGCATCCCTTGCCAACCTCAGCTCCAGCTGCACCTTGGCCTTCCTCACCCCATTCCTACACAACTGGGCAGTGTCCCTATACTCTTCCAAGGTTAACTGTCCCCATTTCCATGGCCCCTGCATTTCCTTTTTACCCTTCAGTTTAACCAGCAGATCTTGACTCAGCCATGCTGGTCTCTTGCCTTGCCTACCTCATTTCTTACATCTCAGGATTGAGAGCTCCTGTGCTCTATTGTACATGTACTTAAAGATCTGCCAGCTCTGTTCTGCTCCATTGTCCCTGAGGGCAGTTTGCCAGGGGATCCGATTGACTAACTCCTTGAAGAGCTGGAAGTTTGCTTTCCTAAAATTCAGAATCCTGACTGTACTCTTCACCTTACCCATATCCCTCAGGAGTGTGAACTCCACCAGTGTGTGATTACTGCAGCCCAAGCAGCCTCCAATCCCAAAGTCACCGAACAGCTCACTTGCATCGGTGACCAGGTCCAGTATCACCTCCCCTCTGTTAGGGCTGTCTATCACCTGGCCTAAGAAGTTCTTCTCCATGCACTCCAGGTATCTCCTGGACTCTTCACCTTACCCATATCCCTCAGGAGTGTGAACTCCACCAGTGTGTGATTACTGCAGCCCAAGCAGCCTCCAATCCCAAAGTCACCGAACAGCTCACTTGCATCGGTGACCAGGTCCAGTATCACCTCCCCTCTGTTAGGGCTGTCTATCACCTGGCCTAAGAAGTTCTTCTCCATGCACTCCAGGTATCTCCTGGATTGCCTAGAGCTTACCATGCTAATTTTTCAGCAGACATCGAGGTGGTTGAAGTCCCTCAGCAGGACTAGAGCCTGCAAACGTGACACCTCCTGTAGCTGGAGAAAGAAGGCTTCATCAGTAGGCTCCCCTTGATCAGGCACCCCATGGTAGACACCAACCACAGGTTGCCTTTGTTGCCTTGTTCTCTAATTATCTATTGTCACATGTAAATAAGTACTTTCAGGAACAGCAGAACAGATTACAAATGCACATCCCATTTTCTTACACTAATCTGTAGAGGAAATACTCAAATAATAATCTAAGTTCTATTCCAAGTGTTTAGTATTTGTATAGCATAAACTACAAATTTATTTCTAGTTCTTAGAGCCTCTTTAGTCTGCTTCATAAAAATCTGTGTAATTCAGCCAGATCAGAGTTAAACTTTGTTCATTTTTTTTTGTTATGGAAAGGCTGAATTAGTGTTAACTTTGAAATATTTACATATGCAAAATATTTACAACTGATATCATAAATACACACTTTTCTCAGCAGCTCCCAAGAAGTGCCAATTTTAATCTATGTTGCTCGTTCTGTGGACATAGAACATACAAGCAGGACTGTTTCGTGGTTTAGCCTTGGCCAGCAATAAAAATTCCACATCACTGCTTGTATACCTCCCCCGCCTCCTCCAGTGGAGGAGGA